TCATCAACCCTGCACAACTCTTTCCTGAATGACCCACAGCAAGAACTGGACAAGCTGATCTTCATAGACATTTTCACATTCTGTTTTCACAGAATCAGTGCGGAAAGAGGCCATTCAGCCCATCAAGTCTGCCCTGACCCTCCAAAGAGCATCTTACCCCTCCCTGCCAGCCTGCACATCCCTGGACAGTACAGGGCAATTTAACAATCCACGTAACCTACACATCTCTGGACTGCAGGAGGAAACCAAAGCATCCAATGGAAACCCACAGAGAGAAAGTACAAACTCAACACAGACGATCACCCAAGGCTGGAATTGAACCAAGGTGATGGCTAGCACGAGGGGACATAGCTTTAAATTGAGGGGTGATAGATATAGGACAGATGTCAGAGGGAGGTTCTTTACTCAGAGAGTAGTAAGGGCGTGGAATGTCCTGCCTGCAAAAGTAGTAGACTCGCCAACTTTAAGGGCATTTAAATGGTCATTGGATAAACATATGGATGATAATGGAATAGCTTAGGTTAGATGGGCTTCAGATTGGTTTCACAGGTCGGCGCCACATCGAGGGCCGAAGACCCTGTACTGAGCTGTAATGTTCTATGTTCTATGTTCTATTTTCTAAGGTCTGTGGCACTGTGAGGCAGCAGTGCTAACCACTGAGCCATCGTGCCCCTCCCCCAACTATTAACATTTTCCAGTAAAGTAGTAACAGAAGAAAAGCTGGATCCTGTCCCCACCACATTCACAATTTTACACACCTCCATGCATTTATTACAGCACCAATACAGAAAAATATTATTCCTTAATCTGCGCAGGCAAGTCTCCCATAAATGATTATAATCTGTAAGCATAGGCAAACAACCAACAAAGTGTCCACCTTCATATCATGAAATGTTGAAACTGCTAAGGAAGGTTTTTAATGTTTCACATCAGAACAGGGACATAATCGAACTATCTTATCTGAAGTAGCAATGTCAATTAAAGATATCAATACGGTGTTGAATCTCGCTTTCATGTTAACAAAATATCCTGAAAATAAATCTTGTAAGGAATTAGAGATAAAAGAATAGCAGTCTGACTGAAGGCCTGAGGAAGCCAGGAATGCAATGGATGAATTGAGAAGAGCTGCGGGTACTGGGACTAACGGTGTCGGTATTAGCTGCCTAGTAACGTATGTGTTTGAAGTAAAGCTGACTGTCAGGAATAGCTATGGGTACCAGGAGTTGCTGTTTCTGGGCCAATCACTATGGCCTGAATCTTGGGGGTTTTTCTGGCTAAAGTGTCAGTTACGTTGAACATTTTTGACTGTTTTCCCCGTGAGGCCTAGTCAATTTTCTTGATGCATGCTACCAAACTCACGTTATCAACTACCTACCGTGCACCACGGCATCCATCTTGTCTGCTTCCATCCCCATCTTCCCACACAGCATTCCCAGAACAACTCACATTGTTGGGATATCCCAGAATTCAGCATTTGAGGAAGAAAGACTTCTCCATTCCACCAGTGTGTCACCATCTCCTCTCTGATATCTTACACTCCCTCTATCGCTGTTACTATGCCCACCTCCCGCCAAGGCTTGTTCTCTACCATTCTCACTAATGCTTGCAATCGTCATCCATAATCTACCCACAACACCAGGAACCCAGCATGCCCTCTGTGCTGCCTACTCACTCATTCAGGTCACCTCCCTGCATGCCCCAACTGTAAAAACTCTGTCACCTGTTTCCTCTCCCTTAATGGCTATATCTCTCTCATTGCAGGAGGCAAACAGCCCTCAATGGGGCAGAAAATGTTGTCAGGTGGTGGGCTGCCCAACATTCGTCTCCTTACCCTTTACGTGTACTGACTCTGACCACCCCAAATGGCTGACTGACC